TTCCTTCCTTCCTTCCTTCCTTCCTTCCTTCCTTCCTTCTTTCCTTCTTTCTTTCTTTCTCTTTCCTTCCTTCTTTCTTTCTTTCTTTCTTTCTTTCTTTCTTTCTTTCTCTTTCTTTCCTTCTTTCCTTCCTTCCTTCCTTCCTTCTTTCTTTTTTCTTTCTTTCTTTCTCTCTCCCTTTTTACTCCCTCCCTCCCTTTTTCTTTCTTTCTTTTTCCTTTCTTTTCCTTTCTCTCTCCCTTTTTTCTCCCTCCCTCCCTTCCTCTTCCTCTTTCTTTTTTCTTTCTTTCTTTTTCTTTCTCTCTCCCTTTTTTTCTCCCTCCCTCCCTCTTTTTCTTTTTTCTTTCTTTTTCTTTCTCCCTCCCTTTTCTGTCTCTCTCTCTCCCTCCCTCTCACTTCTTTCCTTCCTTCCTCTCCTTCCTTCCTGTTTTTTTAAAATCTCACTTTTGTTATCGATCACCATATCTATCTATCTATCTATCTATCTATCTATCTATCTATCTATCTATCATCTATCTATCTATCATCTATCATCTATCTATCTATCTATCTATCTATCTATCTATCTATCTATCATCTATCTATCTATCTATCTATCTATCTATCTATCTATCTATCATCTATCTATCTATCATCTATCTATATCTAGAATATCTAATATCTATCTATCTATCTATCTATCTATCTATCTATCTATCTATCTATATCTAGAATATCTATCTATCTATCTATCTATCTATCTATCTATCTATATCTAGAACATCTATCATATCTAGAATCTATCTATCTATCTATATATCATCTATCTATCTATCTATCTATCTATCTATCTATCTATATCTAGAATATCTATCATATCTAGAATCTATCTATCTATCTATCTATCTATCTATCTATATCTAGAATATCTATCTATCTATCTATCTATCTATCTATCTATCTATCTCTAGAATATCTATCATATCTAGAATCTATCTATCTATCTATCTATCTATCTATCTATCTATCTATCTGTCTATCTATCTATCTATATGTCTACCTCTATCTATCTATCTATCTATCTATCTATCTATCTATCTATCTATCTATCTATCTATCTATAGTATATGTTATCCTGCTTTGCAGAGGGTTGGGCTAGAAAACCTCCAAGATCCCTTCCAACTTTTTTCATTCTGTTATGTTGATCATTCGACTTTTACCATACCCAGGGTAACACCCAATACACAGCCTTCATGTGGGAAAAAATATAGAAACCGAACTGTCTTTTAAAAATACATTTACATCCACTGTCCAAAAATATATTTAGCTTTTTAAAAAGAAATTAGAATATGCGTTTGGTCAAGTTTTTCTAAGTTTTGCTCTTGAATTTTCTTTCCTAAAGCAGAGCTATAAATCTAGTTATTATTTTTATCCTTGTGAACCTCTTTCAGATTTGTCCCTTTTCTGGGTTATTCTGGGTTATTCTTTATTTTTGCCTCCAAGAAAAACTATGGTCACCTTCCCCACAGCACAAAACGTAATTGGCAGCTTGGAGGCAGGCCAGACACATAAACCGCTGTATCAGCAAAATGCCAAAAGTGCTGACAAAACCATTGGCAGAGCTTGGCTGTAATAATCATTAATTAATTATAATAATAATTAACCTTAACAGGTCTTGTTTTGATAATTAAATGGCTTGTGTTTTCTTTTTTTCCCCCACTGGCCTGATTTGCACAGCATAGAGGACGGGAAAACACAAAGAACCGAGAATTGAGATCTCTCTTCCTTCCAACCTGCCAGATGTGTTAGCGGTGGGGAAGGGCTGCCTCCTACAGCACATCTGGAGGACACACATCTGGAGGGCGTCACGCAAGGAGAGAAGCAACCTAGAATGGAGGAGAAATTCCTAAAAGGGAGGACAATTAACCAGGGGAACAGCTGGCCACCAGAAATCATAGCTGCTCCATCACTGGAGTTTTTTTTAAGAAGAGACCGGGCAGGCCCTTGTCTTGAAATGGGATAGGTTCTCCTGCTTGAGCAGGGGGCAGGACTAGAGGACCTCCGAGGTCCCTTCCAGCTCTACCCTATAGTATATATACTATTTATTTTAATCAAGGAGAGAAGCAACTTGAAATTGAGGAGAAACTTTCTAACAGGGAGGACAATTAACCAGCCGAACAGCCTTCAGAAATCATGGGCGCTCCATTGCTGGATGGTTTGAAGAAGAGACTGGACAGGCCCTTGTCTGGACTAGTATAGGTTTCTCCTGCTGGAGCAGGGGGGGCTGGACTAGAAGACCTCCAAGGTCCCTTCGTGCTCTATTCGAGTGGATTGGGTGGGCGAGTGAAGCCGCCGCCCGCCCGCCCCCCGACTCCGCCCCCGCTGCCGCCTCGCCTCCCTTTGCCCAGCCGGACGGGCGAGACGCGAGCAGCGCCGCCGCCGCCGCCGCCGAGCCGAGGGAGCGCCAGGCGGAGCGGACCTTCCTTGCGCGCGGGGCGCTTCTCCAGCGAAGGTAAGGACTCTCCCCGCCGCTCAGGGCGCCTCCCGTCCCGCCGGAGTGGAGGCTTCGGAGCCGAGGACGAGGCTGGGTGGGCTCCCGCGGGACGGGGCTGTTGAACCCGGGCGGGGGTGGGTGGGAATGGAAGGGACAAGGTACGCTTCGTTCCTGGCGCCGCTTTCAGACATGAAGCGATTCGCAAGCCCGGAGGACTCGCCGCTCTCGCCGCCGCCCCTCTCCAGCCTCCCTCTGGACTACAAAACCCTTCGGGCGCCCCCAGCCTGGACTACAAAACCCCTCGGGCGCCCCCCAGCCTGGATTGCAGCACCCCCCCCCCCCCCCCCCCTGCTGGATGGATTCGGGCTCCTTCCTGGCTTTGCCTGGACCTACTGCGGACCTCGCCGGTTCTCTCGGGCTGGCAGTTCAACCGGTGCAGCGGGGAGCCGCTACTAGGCAGATCGGAGCCGTTTTACCCGCCCCCCCCCCAATCCCTTTTGTGCTGGGCTGGTTGGAAAAGGTGGGGGTGGAGGGAGGGAAAGCCAGTAAATCAAACCAATCGGCCGTCTGAAGGGGGATGCTGGTTAGACACGACCCCCCCTCTCTTTCTCTCTCTCTCTCTCTCTCTCTCTCTCTTGTGTGTGTGTGTGTGTGTGTGTGTGTGTGTGTTTCTGCTGTGGTGGTGGTCCTTCAGGAACGCCCCGTGTTTCTTTGAGGGTGGGAGCCGGGGGTAGGGGGCCAAGACTCGCTCCTGGAGGCTTGCAACCAATAGGGTTACCACCACACCCGCCTCCCTTCCCCGTTTCCCTCCACCCGGATTTGCAAAATGCATCAAGGGCTGGCCGGGACTAGAATTCCCACTGGACTCGTGAAAGGAAGGTTCCTGCAGCTGAAGTCTGAGGTGGGGCTGAGGGGTGGGAGGGGGGCGGATGGGAGGGCGCCTCCAGACAGCTCGACTTTTTGCCCGTTTGTGTCGCTTTGGAAGAAGAAAGGGAAGAGTCTGAAATACCTGTGTTTCTCACCTGGTGTCCTCCAGATGTGCTAGAAGCTTCCAGAGTTCCACGGGGATTGGAGATTCTGGGAAGTCCTTGTCAGCACATCTGGCAGTTGCCCTTGGTGCACCTGGAGAAAATGAGTAGGGGGTTGGACTAGAAGATCTCCAAGATCCCTTCCAGATCATCCTATCCTATCCTATCCTATCCATGCTATGCTGTGCTATGCTATGCTATTCTACTTATTCCTGATTCCTAATAATTCCTTACTCCCAGTTGATTCCTTATTCAGACTAGACTAGACTAGACTAGACTAGACTAGACTAGACTAGACTAGACTAGAATAGAATAGAATAGAATAGAATTCTTTATTGGCTAAATGTGATTGGACACACAAGGAATTTGTCTGGTGCAGAAGGTCTCAGTGTTCATAAAGAAAAAATAAAATACATTCATCAGAAATCATAAGATACAGCACAGTGATAGTAATAAGCAATCCAATCATTCTAGGGTCATAGGTTACTAATAAGCAATCAATCAATTATTCCTAATAATTCCTAATTTCCAATAATTCCTAATTACTTATCTCTTATTTCTACTCTACTCCACTCCACTCTAAAAACCAGCTGATCCAATTTTCTCTCACCCGGAACATTAAATGCAAGCTGTGCCTGCATCAGCCCAGGCTCAACAGCCATGGCTTGGGACATCTGGTCATCTTAAATGAATTTGATTAAAGTTCTAAAAATGCAGATTTATCTCCCCAATTTGGAGACATGCATTAGTTTTAGACTGGCTGTTTCGCTTAAGTCACTATCTGCATTCCTTTATGCATCTAGAAAATTTGAGGCACTTAATAACATGGATTTGGGACTTTTCACAGGACCACACATATATGAGATGTGGAGATATCTGACCCTGACTGATAATTACTTACTGCCAATTTCAGGAAGCAATAGTAATTTAGATAGATAAAGGAGATAGGACTTCCTCCATCTCCCACTGCAGTTCTCCATTTATTATCTTAGTTTCCTAATTGAAAATAGAATATAAAATTACAGGGTTGGAAGGGACCTTGGAGGTCTTCTAGTCTGACCCCCTGCTTAAGCAGGAGACCCTATACCCTTTCTGGACAAAAGGCTGTCCAATCTCTTCTTAAAAACCTCCAGTGATAGAGCACCCACAACTTCTGTTCCACTGATTAATTCTCACTGTCAGAAAGTTCCTCCTTTAGTTCTAGCTCGGATCTCCCGTGAATGATGCTCTTCCACCCGTTGTTTCTTGTCCTGGTCCTGCCCTCAGGTGCTTTTGGAGAATAGTTCAACTCCTTCAACTTCTCTAGGAGAGCCCCTCAAGTACTGGAAAACACCTATCATGTCACCCCTAATGCTTCTTTTCATTTAGTCTAAGCGTACCTAGTACCCTTAATTCAGAGCTCTCCAAACTTGGCAACTTGAAGACTTGTGGACTTCGACTCCCAGAATCCCTCAGCGAAACGTTTGCAAAAGAAAAAACAAGAAAGTCCAGTTGCTTCTTGGGAAAAAAAAAAAGCACCTTTAGGACAACCAGGACCTGGAGGACTGAGAATCTCTACAGACTTTTAGCTATACAATTTGGGATGAACACCTTTGGAATGGTGTGGGATTAAGGAATGGATTTCCAGAGGAAAAAAAATTGCAGACTACAGGAACCATTTGCACCACTCAGGTGACCCTGAAGATACAGACAAACCTCCAAGTGACCTCAACGACCCTCTAAAAGGATGCAAATGACCAGCTGTCTGCAAGGAATATAAATCCTTCCCTTCCCCACCACCCAGTCAGAGCTGAAGAAGCTTCTTGGATGAGAAGCGAAAGGTCTTCAAAGAAAAAACAAGGAAGTCCAGTTGCCTCCTGAAAAAGCACCTTTCGGGACAACCTTCATCTGGAGGACTAAGAACCTCTACCGACTATGTTAGGGAAGCGTGGGCAGCAGACTCATTGAGTTCATGCTGCATGTGAACTATAGGCCATAGTTACAACAAACTTTGCATGGGTTTTCCAGCTAACTCATCTCTTGTATGTAAATCTCTGAGTCACCCAGAATCATCGTGAGTCAAACAGCATAGAAGTTGAATAAGTTACTACCATTAAATTATGATTCAGTCTTTTAAGTTGCCAAAGTGATGTCAGCCCACAAGCCAGGGCTATTCGCAGGTATAAGGGAAAGTGGACTAGGTGAGGGACCACTGAGGAGATGAGCATGTTCATTGGTTACAGGTGAGTAAGGCTTGTGCAAGGGAATGGAGAATGCCAGAGGAAGGCAGGTTGCCTAAAACTCAAAATGAAGCAACTCTAGAACTTCAATTGCAATTTTAGGAAGGATATCCTAAAAAGTCACCTAAGGTGGATTTGCAACTCTGAAAATTTTTTGGTCCAGATCTGTGACCCTTGCAGTTAGGGGTGTCTTGAGTTGGAAGAGGCCAGTCTAGCAAGGGTCAGGTCTGTGACACGAGAGGACAAATTAAGAAATTTGGGGCTCTTTGGATAGGCAACCGCTTCTCTCTGTGTCTGCTCTTGTGTTTGCACCAAAGATCCTTAATCTGGATTTCTCATTTAGCAATATTTATCAAATCAAAACTCTTTATTATGGTCTTTGACCAGCCTTTATAACAAAAGTAAAAAAAATTGAGGAGACTGTGGGTTCTAGTTCCATGTCAGGCATGAAAGTCAGGTGGGTAACCTTGGGCCAGTCACTCTGTCTTTGCCCAACCCACCTCACAGGGTTGTTGTGGGGAAAACAGGAAGAATGAATGAATGAATGAATGAATGAATGAATGAATGAATGAATGAATGAATGCTTTATTGAGACACACAAGGAATTTGTCTTGGTGCATGTGCTTTCAGTGTACATAAAAAGAAAAGATACATTCGTCAAGGCACAACACTTAATGATAGTCATGGGGTACAAATAAGCCATCAAATCATACTAGGAAACAGTCAATATAAATCGTAAGGATACAAGCGACAAAGTTACAGTCATACAGTCACAAGTAGGAGGGGATGTATGATAAGGAGTGATGAAAAGATTAATAGTAATAGTAGTGTAAACTTTGTAAAACCGGTGTTGAAGGAATTATTTGTTTAGCAGAGTGATGGTGTTCAGGAAAGAAGAAGGTGTGTTGGATATGTTCACACCTTGAGTTATTTGTAAAAACTAATAAAAGCAGGATGCAAATAACTAATAACTAAAAAGGGAAATAATTTAGCACACAAATTTGTTATTAGGGAATGGAAAAAAATAACAACAACAAACTTTATTAAAAGTTTTGGGCAGCTGTATATTTATTTTCTGCATTTGGTGTTGTTCCAAAGTGAACTTCAGGTGGCCATCCCAAAATTCCAAGTTGTGCTTGTGAGCAAAGTTGCTTCCAAGAACTGTGCTCATCCTCCTGACAGGAATCAAGGAAGGGCAAAGGTGAGCAAACTGCTGGCTTGCACCTGGAGCAAGAAAGAGATGGGCTGACTCTGGAGAGGAAGGGGTTAAGCCGCTCTCCATCTGTCTGAGGGCTTGGCTGGAGTTCAGCTCCTTTTTCATTCAAAATATACACATGGGGGAGAGAGAGAGAGAGAGAGAGAGAGAGAGAGCATAAAAGGCTCCTGGGCTAATCAGAAGTGTGTGATCTCTATTGGTCGAGCCAGTTGGCAGAGTGGAAAAATTCTGCTTTTATTTCTCCGCCTCCCACCTCTTCCCAGCTCTAAATGCATTTTGAGATGAGAAACAAATTGCTTGAGCAACATCTTTTGAAGGTGGAGGCGGGTTTTCCAGGACGGGTGGTCCTCGACTTATGACCACAGTTGAGCCCCAAAATTTCTGAGGCTAAGCGAGACACTTGTGAATCACCGCAGTTGTTAAAGTTAGTCCCACAGTTGTGTAGTGAATCTGGCTTCCCCATTGGCTTTGCTGGTCAGAAGTTCGCAAGAGCGGATCATGGGACACGGCGACTGTCATAAATACGAAGCAGGTGCCCAGCGCCTAAATTTTGGT